AATTGAAAGAAAAAAATTGACTTTCTATTAAACAAATGGTCTGATAATTTCCAAATGGCCAACTATTGCTCCATAATGCAGCTCAGAGATTAAAAATTCTCTAAGTAAAGCTCTGAAAATATAAAGTTGTTTCCCCTTATATAAATATTCATTGATAATAAAGAATATACTTTGAAGAGACAAAAGCTTATCAATATTTTTCATATAAATTAAATTAAAGTTAAAACACGTAGGGTACTCATCTTTGATCCGATCAAATCCTAAAAACTTTAGTTCCATAGAGCTTTTAGTTGAAATCACCCTAGATAAAACATCAGTAGGTTTATTTTCAATTCCAGGTTTATGCTTGAAAACAAATGAATAATCTTGCAGGAATGTAACCCATTTAGCATGTCTATGGCTTAGCTTTCATTGATTATTAATGAATTTGAGGGCATAATAATCTGAGTTAAGAATGTTCCCTTTATGTAAGGGAAAATGATGAGTGTCTCAAAGATTCAATGACAACATAAAATTCTCTAACATATGTCGAATATCGTTGTTTTTCCTTATTCAATTTCTTATTAAATAAAGCTACTAGGCAATTTTCTTAATTTAAAATTCCATTAATTCCAATGTCAAAAGCATCAAAAGTTACCTCAAAACCTTTAGGGAAGTAGACATTATTAAAATCTTAACCTGATTATAGGCTTTTTGAGTCGCACAAGTCCAATGAAATTTCTCTAATTAAATAATATTAGTGATAGGGATAACAACTGTACTAAATCATTTGATGAATCTCCTATAAAAAATAGCTAGACCATGAAAACTACGCACATTTGTGAAATTCTTACGTGAAGGCCAATCTAAGATTGCCTAAACTTTGGAAGGGCCAACCTTGATTCCAATAGTTGAAACAATAAATATTAAAAAAATCACCTCGGGTTGTAAGAAGAAACACTTATTCAAGTTGATGTACAATTGTTCTTTCCTAAGGAATTTAAGTACTTACCTATGGTGTTCAAAATGGTATGTCTCACGGGATAAAAATTATGACATCATCAAAATAAATAACCAAAAATTTTCCTATAAAAGGTTTTAGCATAGTATTCATTAATGTCATAACTATAATTGGAGCATTTGAAAGTCCAAAAGGCATCACAAACTATTCATGGTCCATCAAGCGTTTAAATGCAATTTTCCACTCATCTCCTGATTGAATTCTAATTTGGTGAAAACCACTTCTTAAATCAAATTTAGGAAAAAAAAACTGTTCTAAAGATTAAATCCAACATGTCATCCAGCCAAAAAAAAAAGAAAGCTATACTTGATAGTGATCTTTTTAATAACCTGACTATCAATACACATCCTCCATGTACCATCTTACTTTGGGGTTAGCAATGCCAGAATTACACAAGAGCTAAGACTTTCTTAAACAAATCCATTCTTAAGTCATCGACTTATCTTTTTAATTCAACATGTTTAGTGTGGATTATTTGATTGTGGGGAAGTTTGGAGAGTTGTGAACCAAAGATTAAGTCAATTACATGATGAATGGACCTAATAGTGGGTAGCCTATCATGTAATCCATTAGGTGCAACAACACTAAATTAGGCGAATCACATTAGATTCAGGTGTTACTTCCGTCACATGCAATAAATGTATGAAGGGAATACATAAAATTCTTTGTTTTTATGCTTCCAAATCCAACATTTTTATGTTTAGGATTGATGGAGTAGGCAAGGTGTTGGAATCAAGTTCATAAATGGTAATTTCAACTGTAACAATAGGATTTCCTACAATCGAGCATAATACCTTTCTTCAGAGTGGGTTTAGGTCGTAGATCAGAATTGGTTTTATGAGGTGAAATGGTAGGTTCCTTTTCTAAAAGTTTGACATGAATAAGCTTAATTTTTCTATTATTATGTTTAATAATATAAGTATTTTATGTACCATAATAGATTACATTCAAGTCATATGATCAAGGTTTACCTAATAAGATGTGAGCATATCCATAGAGAGGACATCACACCATATTTTATCTTCAAAACTATTAATTTTTATAGGAATTTGACATCTAGTTGTGATGGGTAGAGATGTATGATTGACTAACCTAATATGGAAAAGTTCAGGACACAGTTCAGTCTTAATTTTGGCTCCAGTAAAGGCATGGGCTGAGATGACATTCATTGCAATTCATCAATAGCTAACCAACATCTTCTCTCTTTGCAAACAACATGCATACTTAAATTATTCTTTCTCTACAATCCTTAGTTTCATTTTTTTTGTAACAATTAAACATCTCATTTCATTTATTGGAGGGTCATTAAAGAATTCAAGGTCATCATCACAAAGAAGTGTATCATCATAAACTTCTATGTCATAATCTACAGGATTTTCAATTGCATCAATGAAAAGAATTTGAACGTTATTATTTTTTGACGTGCCATCGATAGAAGTTTTGGGATATTAGGTTTGACTAATAGGTTGAGTGGCTTTGACAACGGATCTATGTGATAAATTGGAATGTGTTTGTCCTTTTAATATTAAAATAAAGGTGAATTTCTTTTGATTTTCTATCAACAAAGCATAGTGGAAGGCATCTTATAGGCTTTGGGGGTCAAATAACTCAACTTCATTCTTAAATTTCACCATAAAACTAATTACAAATTTATTGGCCAATTGCCAAACGATGTCAATGAAGTCAATCCTAGCATTTAGGTCTTCAAAAGCATTCAAGTATTCAGTCACGGGAAGACCTCGTTGACTTAATACCAATAGCCCATATAAGTTTTTATCACAATGTCTAGGACAATTTTTTGTTCTTAAAATCTTCATTTTAATCCAAGTGAGAGTATTCCTTCATAACTTTCATTCTTTAGCTAATTTATTATTCCAATAAATTTTAGCATTATCAGTCAATATCATTTTGGCAAATAAAACTTTTGATAATCATCCATCTTATACCAATAAACAAAATCATCCATTTGGACTAACCAATCTAAGAACTTATTATGATCATGGGTTTCATAATATGATGGAGCTTCAACTTCAATGGTCCTAGAGAGATATTTAAAGTCATTATTATACGATAAGAATGATCGTTTCTACCTCCATTTTTAAGATTAGGTTGTCTTCTATGAAGTTGGTCTTCTTCAAGCTCTAAGTATGAATCATTTTCTTTTGACGATGAATATGAATTTGGATAGGCAGGGTGACAGGAGCTTTATTATTTTAAAGAAAGATATATAATTGTTTACACTTGATCTTTTAAATTTTGCATTTGAATTTTAGTCACCTCAAGTAAATTCCTATTTATAGTATCACTTTCATGAATCATAAGTTCTAATGAATCAACCATTTGAGTTAAATTTTCAATTTGATCTTTAAGAAATTAAATTTGGTAGCATGATGCTTTTTTTTTATGAACAGAGATGAGAGGGAAAAAGCCAGAGATGAGAGAGAAAATGAAATAAAAGTGCAAAAATAAAGAAAATCTTCAGTTACATGAACTTGTAGGTGATGAGGGGGTACAAAGACCACTTACATCCCAAGCTCTTCTTAGACAATTTGAGCCTTTTAATAGTCCTTTTCAACCTCAAATACACTAACCTTTATACATATAAACTCTTCCTCATGAAATTTTAAAAGCAATTTGCTTAACTCTACAAATCTCAAGACCTTAAGATGACAAAGCTCTTCAAGTTCTAACATAATAAGGAACTAGTTTACCATAAAAAGTACAACAGAAAACTTAATATTTTGATCGCATCATGGTAAGTTATATTTTCTTTATGTGGAACACTCCCTTCACAAAATTTACACTCGAGATAGTTTAGGGATAAGTTCACGTAAGGGATGTAAGTTGAGCTTTATAGTGGAGCTCGCTAATTACTTCATGCTTGTTGGAAGTGCAAGCTATTAAAAAAGAAATCTGTCGTTAGGAGAAATTAACTAACCTCAAACTTTTTGAACTCAAAAGCTCATATAGAGAATTCTACCGCAAAGAATTTCTTCTTATTTGCCCAAAAGCTCTGACCAAATCAGCTCATTCTCAGATTAGTTCGAATACCAGAAATGATGAAGGTGGGTGAACTTTTGATGAGATAAAGTACTAAAATTTGTTATTGATGTTTGGTTTAGGTCTAAAGACGATATAAAGATTTTATTGGATTGTTAAGAGATTTAGGAGGGAATGGTGGCCAAAATACCAGGAATAGTCTGAATTAGACTAATTTAAGCTGATTTGAAATCTCTTTTGAAAAATTGATTAAGATTGAGGAAATGCCTAAAAATGATTAATGGCGGTTAGCTTAGGATGTTTAGTTATGATCTCGAGTAAATGAGTGATTTTAGATTTGTTTAAAAGTGCTAAAAGTTAAGGGAAGAAGACTACTTCTTAATATGCTCTTGCTCAACCGAGAGCTATGAAGATTAATTCGGAATGGTTGCGAACTTTGATTATTGATTTGTTGATATTATAAAAGTTAAGGATGTGGATGAAGAGGGTAAAGAATTTAGGATCAAGTGTTATGGAGGATTAATCAATAATTTGATAAGAAAACAAAGATAAATATTAAATCTCACTAAAATAAAGACAGCAATTGAAGCCACCAAACACTAAGTAACAATAAATAATATGCACTCAAATATTTTCATTCAACAATTGCTAAAATATCATTACATATTAGCCTTATTTACAGGGACTACAATGTTAAATAAATAAATAAATAAATAAAAAGGAAATTTTGAAGAATGATAAGCAATCATTAGTGAAGAAAGTTGTTAATCAGCTTCCTAATTTATTATTATTATTATTATTATTATTATTATTATTATTA